GCTGATTGTCAAAGCCATAACACAGCGAGGGAGAATAACTAAGTTACATGAAACGACCCAACTTTATATTTTACACCACTGACAAGGGAAAAGTCACTCACAGTGTCTATGGCTAGCTTCTATGGCTGGTCTCGTTTCAAGGTAGTGACGAAACGCGCTCTGTGTTTGCTGTCGGCTACGGTAGAAACATGACGTCACAATATGTCGACATAGATATAGAAGATATAAATGATACAAATGTCTCATATTCTAAGGTAATAAAAACCTTAAAAGTAAGTTCTTTATACAGCACTGAAAACATAGTTATGGATGTCATTAGGGCTGCAGCTATCGATTCTTTTTGTAATCGATTAATCTAGCACTTAATCGATCGATTAATCGAGTAATCGGATAATTTGTTTATGTGTATTTTTAAGCAACCAAAACAAATAATGTATTACGAAAATGATAAGGTGTTTGGCTTTTATTCCTTTAAAAAAAATAGAGGTATTTATTCCAACTGCAACATTTGGCTCCACAACTAATTATTGCAATTTTTACCCATTTAGTGTTTATAAGTGCCAGTGCCAAATATTATATAACAATACAGTTAAACCAATTTAGTGTAAAACCTGTTACATGTAGCCCATAACATGTAAAACTTTGAATACAAACTTAAATAGTAAAGCCCATTTGGCCTTAGTTTTGTCTTCTTAATACAACATTACAAAAAAAGGGTTGCACCTTCTGCAAATTACCCACCTGGAAACAAAAATAAATTAATATAAAATATCAACCCAAACAGGTACACAAATGTGTACAATTTATAAAAAAAAATAAAAATAAATGGAAATAAAACAATTATAAATAAGAATCAGACTTTTTCAACTGTAATCTCAAGACAAACATCAGAGTCTGTGTGTCTCACAATATTTGTTCCTCCATCACGTCCCGGTGAATGTATGCTGAAATTTTTGTTGCGTGGCTACATAAAAGTTATGATGAATTGCCGCAATTGGTCTGGCGCGTGAGAGAGACATGGGTGCACGCGCTCGCTTACCTCTCTGCCGTCGTGCGTGAGCCGTGGTTAAGAGCTCAACATCTCGCATGCGCGCTCGCACTAGATTACAGGATATTTTAACTTGCGAATTAATATGCGGCGGTAAAACTAGTCGATCACGAGTGGCTCAACAGGTAGATCTATAGACGAACTCATCTTTCAGGCATTTGACCGAAGGGATTGACACTTCAGCGTGAGAAATCGAATTGCGCAAGTCTCACGCTGAATGCGTTCTTGTTCTCTCTTGTTCTTGTTCTCTCCCTTTATAAACATATTATGATCCCAAACTTTAGACATTCTCTGCCATTTATGAAGTCAAATGTATCATGCGCTATGGTGTGCTTCCTGAATAACGGTGCGTGCGTGCGCGTAAAGTGCGCGTCATAGGAATTTAACGAGGCTTCGAGGCAGATTTTTTGCCTCGAGGAATTTTTGTAATCGAGTAACTCGAGTAACTCGAGGAATCGTTTCAGCCCTGGATGTCATATTGCATTTCTGTTAATAGATACTCTAAATTATTACACATTGCACCTTAAATGCCCACAAAATTCATTAAATGGATAAGACAACAGCAGCAGCAATAAAATTTCCAAAAGAGGGGTTTCGTAACCATTTTGGGTTCCCAAAAAAACAACATCATAAAAGAGCCATTTTCTTTTTTAGAATATAGTAAAAATCTAAAGAACATTTTTCCGATATAAAGAACCTGTTGTGCAATGTGAAGGTTCTTCAACAATAGATGCTAAATAAAGAAAGTTTAAGTTTTAAGAGTGTAGAAAAAAATAATACTATGTTTGAATGACAACAGTTTTATTTGTAGGTTAATTATTCCTTTAAAAAGTAATTCACAAATTGAAGCATGGACTAGAGAGAGACAGTGAGCCTGTCTATAGGATCTCCTCCTTAAGGACTTGTGAATCACTCGAGTCTGTACAAACAGATTAGAGTTACAGCCCTGAACCTGAGTGAGACATGTTTGACATTAATGCCGCATTGTATATTATCAGAAACGCTGAATGTGGACGCAGAGATCCAAGGCGGAGAATGTTTAAGAACTAATTACGAACCAGCGAGGCACAAGTCCTATAGCATATTTTCTTACTTGTGTGGAAAAATATAGCAGGCTCCATTTATTTTTCTGCACTGTTATTTCTGGATGGCTCCTGCTTCGGGTAAATAGTCCCGTTCCCTATTGTAAATCTGACGGGCACAGGTCTTCGGAGACTTTTGAGGCTCTTTTAAGGAAAAATAGAGACAGGCTTGGATGGCTTTTGGCCATAATGAGAGAGTGGAAGCAAAGGGAGAGCTTTGATCCATGGCCTGTAAGCTCATGTTTAAATCTGTTAGCAGAAATCACTCATCTTTGCTCGAGGATGAAACGACCAGATCAAAGTAGTTTTCTTCGCATTTAACGGACAATGAAACCCAGTTTAGATGTTGGTGACATAGCTAACATCAGCTAACATAACAGCTCTATCAAGACGTGTGTGTGTGTGTGTATATATGAAGAGTTCAGATGCAAAAGCCTCTAAATGCCATTTGAAATTTTCTTCTTTAATGATGATTTTTATCAAACTTGTATATTTAAGTTCAGTAATTTCACTTAAATAACAATTAATAGGTAATTATCATTGCCATTTAAGTGAAATCACTGAACTTAAATATACAAGCTTGATAAAAATTATCATTCTAGAAGAAAATTTCAAATGGCACTTAGAGGCTTTTGCATCTGAACTCTTCATATATATATATATATATATATATATATATGCATCTAGGTTGACAGACAGACAGATAGATCTAATGCAATGACATCCATACATTTTCTGAGTGTCCAAAAACACTCCAGAAACGTAACCGCACAATTAGCACTCATCATTCAATTACAATAAATATCCATTTCCTTAGAAACGGCTCCATAAACCGGCATCAATTAGCAAAAACGTGTGCGCAGGAAAAAGAAATAATGCAAGTCAAACTGTGAAAATATTATTTTATTCATAGAGCTTCACTCGGAATAGGCCTCTCTGGCGCCACACTCTCATTTCATATCAAACGCTTGTCCAAACCACACAAGAGCAGGAGCTCCACAAGGACCTATCATGGGCCCGATGCTATTCCAGCAGTGCTAAGTGGAGGGGAGGAGACCTGGATGAACGCCCGATCAGATTTCCTTATTCTCCGTTTCGGTGGACCGCTGTGTGTCGTGAATCTCCTTTCCACCTCAGCTCGTTAATTTCCCATAAACGGGGATGTGAATAAATATTTAAGTATGCTGTATCCAGCGTTGATTGATGTTAAACACTTTGAGATAAGCCAACAAGAATTGAGAAGACAAAATTATATATGAGTTGTGAGGTAAAGTCTGAACAACTTGTACTTTACAAAGAAATTACATGAGGCAATAAAGAATTGAGGATTTTCTGTAAACTCTGTTAGTGGCTCTCAATGTGTAATAAAAGAGCAGAATATAGCTAGAAACGATCGTATTTGCCACACTGTGTTTCTTCTATTGAAGGCACGTTAAAGATGCTCATTAAAGGAAAACTCTGGCGTAAAATGAACCTTCGGCCTAGTAAAACATCGGTACCTAGTCAACCGTTCTCTGAGATTTGTTTTCATGATAATCGAATGTAAAGAGTTTTATCTCTAAAAACTGTTTAGCATATAACGCTAGTATATGGAGGCATTTAATAAGAAATCGCTAGTTTATACCACTAACAAGGCTCAAAATAGCCCTACACTAACATAGTAACATAATGAGGATCCATACACTGAAAATGAAGCATTGAGAACTTTGTAAGTGTACAGACCGTTTAATAAGAAGATACTTTATAAAGACAGTTCACTTCGCGTATACAGGCAGGAGCCATCTTAGAAAATAGACTCGATAAGTCGATTCCCGAACGCCGTTCATGGTTTGACTTGTCGTGACTGTTTTCCAAGATGGCTCCTGTCTGTATACACGAAGTGAACTGTCTTTATAATATATCTTCTTATTAAACAGTCTGTACACTTACAAAGTTCTCAATGCTTCATTTTCAATGTAGGGACCCTCATTATGTTACTATGTTAGTGTAGGGCTATTTTGAGCCTTGTTAGTGGTATAAACTAGCGATTTCTTTTTACTTAGTAAATGCCCCCATATACTAGCGTTATACGCTAAACAGTTTTTAGAGATAAAACTCTTCACATTTGATTATCATGAAAACAAATCTCAGAGAACGGTTGACTAGGTAACGATGTTTTATTAGACCAAAGGTTAATTTTGCACCGGAGTTCTCCTTTAAATCATTACTTAAAAACGAATTCATTTAGTGCGCATTCACGAAACAAAACCCCATGAAACATGTACAAAAACTAGGAATTATATTTGATTAGTTAACTTTGAAGTTTATCCTGCAGCTCACATTTGATCTTGTCATGCATTATACACAAATATAATAAAAACATAACGGAATATTGTAAAACCAAAACAAAGTCAACAAGGTTTTTCAACTGTCATGATGCTTGAGTACTGTGACAATGCAGAAAAAAAGGGTTAGTAAGATTTTTTTTTAAAGAAATAAACACTTTCATTCAGCAAGAATCAATTAAATTGATCAAAAGTAACAGTAAAGACTTTAACATTGTTAAAAAGCATTTTCTTTGTCTAATAAATTCTATTGAACTTTCCATTCATCAAAGAATCCAGAAAAAACAAAATGTATCACTGTTTCCACGAAAATATGAAGCAGCACAACTATTTTTAACGTTGATAATAATAAGAAATGTTCCTTGGGCATAAAATCAGCATATTATAATGATTTGAGAAGGATTGTGTTATATTATAGTGAAAATTCTGCTTTGCAATTACAGGAATAAATTATATTTAAAAATATAATAAAATAGAAAAAAGCTCTTATAAATGGTGGTAATAAAATTTCACAATATTTCTGTTAATGTATTTTTGATCAAAATCAAATGCAGCCTAGGTGAACATAAAAACATTTTTGAAAATCTTATCAACCTCAAAATTTTGAACGCCCGTGTGTCTATTAAAACTATTTTAGATTACATATTTGTTTTTCTGATTTTTCTTCATGTTTATATCTAATGAATGATTATGTTTGGGGCTAAGGGCATGATGATGTGTTCTATTAAATATTCCAGGGATCATCTTTTGATTTATTCTTTGTTTTGTCCTATATCTCAAGAATCAGTGCATGATTTGATACATAGAATTAAAAAAAAAATAGGAAGAACTGTTGTCTATGCTGAGAGAGAGAACAACAGAAAAACAGTAATATCCAGTCTCTTTAAATAGAGACAACAGCAAAGTTGCTTAGGATGATGTTTATATGAGCAACAGATCAGTGAGAGCTTGTAAGTTTTTGGAGGATATTTAGGATTCACATTTGAGTCACTGAACTCAGGCAAATGAGGTGTTTCATGATTACTGTATATCAGAGCACAATGGATGATTGATTACCAGGGCCCTGGATGAAAAACGACTAACGTGTAGTTGGGGATCAATGGTTTCGAATTACATGGAAAACATCAACTCTTCCTCAAGAAAATATCCCCAGGTCTGGTTTTGTCGAATTTATTCATCAGTTTACTTGGTTAGCCTCTTAGCCACGTCCTGATATGCCAACTCGATCTCGCTGTCGGCAGCTTGTGTGTTGATGAACTCTTCTTGTGCATACGCACTGTTCAGATAACGCCACACTCCTGTCAAATCACTGGGAATGTCATAGTTACGATATTTCTTGGCAACCACCTACAGACAAAAATACAAGGAAAAACATGAATGAAAACCACCTCATTTGGCTGCTTTTTTAAGCACTGCTGTCGCCGAGAGGCCTGTTCACAGTAAGAACGATAACTGTAAAGATAACTCCACAATATCGTTCTGTTTATTCTAAGCATGCGCTGCAGGTCTGCCACTTTAAAGGGATAGTTCACTTTGAAATTAATTTTTGGTATGTTTTAGCTTACCTCAAGGGCATCCAAGATGTAGGTGCCTTTGTTTCCGCAGTATTTTAAATTTTGATGTTTTTAGGTCAAACCGTTATTGTCTGTCAGTCATATAATGCAGGTCTATGGTCACCACCTCAAAGAGCATGCACAGAGAAGTCCAAATTAAACATGATTTAATGACTCGTAAATGTAAGTACACATTGACGGCCTAAGACACGAAACGAGCGGTTTGTGTGAGAAAACGAACAGTATTTATATCGTTTTTACCTCTTGTAACCACAGCCACGTCTAAGTGATCTGAGGGCCAAAGTTGGGTTAAAACACCCCAACAATTTTTAGAGTGTATACAGGAAATCGCAATGGATGACGATTTCGATATATCAACAGACAACACTGAATTTTTTTCGCAAAACCGTGTGAGAGATCACTTCCGTCGCTTGCGCCCGCGCCCTCGGATCACTTGGACGTGGCTGTGGTCGATATAAAAACGATATAAATACTGTTCGTTTTCTCACACAAACCGCTCGTTTCGTGTCTTAGGCCATCAATGTGTACTTACATTTACGAGTCATTAAATCATGTTTAATTTGGACTTCTCTGTGCATGGTCTTTGAGGTGGTGACCATAGACCTCCATTATATGACTGAAAGACAAGAACAGTTTGACCTAAAAATATCAAAATTGAAAATACTGCGGAAACAAAGACACCTACATCTTGGATGCCCTTGAGGTAAGCTAAAACATACCAAAATTTTATTTCAAAGTGAACTACCCCTTTAAATGCTCGTGGTTTCTCATTGGCTGTCAATGTTTTTATCGTTTTATTAACGGAAAAACAATATCTTCCTTTGTGTTCAGCAGAAGAAAGAAACTCACCCAGGTTTGGAACAACATGAGGGTGAGTAAATATGACAGGATTTTCATTAAAGTGAACTATTATCATTATTTCTGGTAGCATGGCCCCCTGCTGGTAAAATCCATAACTACACAATCTCCATTACCATCCTCCACGAGTCCAAATTTCCCCCAAAACTGCCATTAAGATGAATGAGAATGCTAACGGATAGCTCTCTCCGGGTATTGCAGACCTCCTTGGTTACCCCCCAAAAACTGCAGGCCAACTGCTAGTGTCAAGTCCCCGTCAGCGACTCGGCTCACCTTCACTATGTGGAGCTTTGGCAGCAGGTTGCAGTCTGCCAGAGTCAGATCGTTCCCATCCAGGAACTTGCGGTTGGAGGCCTTCTCCTCCTCCATGCTGTCGGCATCTACCTCATCAGGCAAGGGGCTGTTCATGTAGTCGTCCAGCTTCTTGAGTGCCTTTGTCAAACCCTTCTCCAGAGCTAACAAAACAGCACATAATAACTAGTATGTTTTTGATTGTGAATGGTAAAGTCAGCAGCCAAACATAGGGTAACAGGACTAAAGGCATACTGTGGTAAAAGGCGTATTCTCATTTGTGGCACAAAAATTCAGCTCAAATTTGGCTGATCCTTGATGCGATCACTGACACCAACGCAAAGTTGATACTGAGCTAATTTGATCAGATATTTAATATTTTTTATAATCTTATAGATTTATGTAGCAAATGAGAACCGATAAAATTATTGTCCATATTTTGAGACAAGGGTCTTGTTAATGATTTTGAGTTTTGTTCAAGGTAATTAAAGTAATGGTAATTACGTTATTTACGTTTATCATTGATGGGAGAATATGTAAAAGTATGGTATTTAGGGTAAAAGTATTTGTATCAATAGTTTGGGCCTTTTGCCCCATGCTGGTTTCACCCTGTGTGTGGAGTAACAGCCCCCACCTTGCCGCCTTACTTCATGTTTATAAGATTTTTAAACAAACCACTTTAATGATTTATTTTCACACAATATCTATGGGTGACCATATATCAAGATTTACCTTCATTTATATTCTGATTAGTTTGATATGGAAATCACTTTTTTCAATGTTATAATATTAATACCAAATATGTTTAATTTTACATACACAACCGTTCAAAAGTTTGGGTAATGTTAATATTTATATATTTTAAAAATATTTATTTTATGCTCACCGAGGCTCCATTAATTGATCAAAAATACAGAAAAAAACTGCAATAATGTGAAAAATCATTACAATTTAAAATAAATCCTTTCTATTTTAATATATTTTAAAATGTAATTTATTTTATATTATTATCAAAATAGAAAACAGTCATGCTTAATATTTTTGTGGAAACCATTCAGGATTCTTTGATTAGAAATTTATTTGAAATAGAAATCTTTTGTAACCTTACAAAATAAATCACTTCTGATCTATTTAATTCATCTTGCTGAATAGAAGTATTATTGTCTTTAAAAAAAAAAATGTAATGACCCCTAACATTTGAATGGTTGTGTGAATATAATATGTGAATATAAATATAATATTCTTATATTTTATATTATTAATTTTTATTATGATTATTATTATTAGAAAAAAGATTTTCTTCGGCTGCCAGGTTCCATATGTACGTCATTTAAAAACTGGCAAAACTGCAAATATTTATATCAGTCATCATTGGTTATCGTCTATCAACCACAACAAAAAATAGTTATCATTTCAGCCAAAATGTCTATTTTGGCACATTCCTACTGAGAACCTAGCCACTCTAAAAAGTGAACACTATTCATAATTTAATGTTAAAATACATAGGATGTTTACAGCACTATTGATTCCATATAGAGTTAACAGAATTTAACTTTTCCCTGTTTCAGTGCACTGACCAAAACACAATATATCCATTCATTCATTCAATCAGTTTGATCCAGTTTGACATGCATACCTTCATTCGCATCTGGCTTTGTGTTTTTTATGAAAGCTGAGAACTTTGCAAATATGTTATTCCCAGCTGTGTTTGACTCCCTGTGCCTGGCTGCAAGTTTGGGGTACCTTGGACACAAGGAAAGGTACATAGAAAAACATGTGTCAGTATTCTTTACAGTTCTAGTTCACAGTGGTTTAATGTGATGTTTAATACAATATACATTGCAAAAGGGGGGAAAAAATTCTTGGAAGTCTAAAGCTGCGGTTCTTAACTGGTGGGTTGTGACCTAAAAATGGGTCATAGGCCATGACATAAATGATAAATGATAAAATAATGATAACTTGATAACTTGTCCCATTAAAGGGATAGTTCACTTTGAAATTAATTTTTGGTATGTTTTATCTTACCTCAAGGGCATCCAAGATGTAGGTGTCTTTGTTTCCACAGTATTTTCAATTTTGATATTTTTAGGTCAAACCGTTATTGTCTGTCAGTCATATAATGGAGGTCTATGGTCACCACCTCAAAGAGCATGCACAGAGAGGTCCAAATTAAACATGATTTAATGACTCGTAAATGTAAGTACACATTGATGGCCTAAGACACGGAACGAGCGGTTTGTGTGAGAAAACGAACAGTATTTATATCGTTTTTACCTCTTGTAATCACAGTCACGTCCAAGTGATCTTCTGTCTGCGCAAGCGCCGGAAAGCCCCAGAAGTGATCTCTCGCGAGTGTACGTCACTCATTGTTTACACAGAGATTTCAGAAGTGTTACCTTTCACAGTGAAGATCTAAACATATTTAGATATACAGGAAATTGCAATGGAAGACGATTTCAATATATCAACAGACAACGTTGATTTTTTTTTTCCGCAACCGCGCAAGAGATCACTTCCGGCGCTTGGTTACAAGAGGTAAAAACGATATAAATACTGTTTGTTTTCTCACACAAACCGCTCGTTTCGTGTCTTAGGTCATCAATGTGTACTTACATTTACGAGTCATTAAATTATGTTTAATTTGGACCTCTCTGTGCATGCTCTTTGAGGTGGTGACCATAGACCTCCATTATATGACTGACAGACAGTTTGACCTAAAAATAAAGACACCTACATCTTGGATGCCCTTGAGGTAAGCTAAAACATATCAAAAATGAATTTCAAAGTGAACTATCCCTTTAAGTGACGCTGTGATGCTAGCTATGCCATTCTTAGTAATATAAATAGATTTGAATGTTTGATGTATTTTTACTTTAGTATACAATTTTGATGCTTTGTTTGACTATGATTGGTGTCCACTGAAAAATCTGGGTCCTGAAGCAAAACCAGTTGAGAACCACAGGTTTAGAGTTTCTATAGTGTATTTGTAAAAGTGAGCTTACTTCGGTGGCGCCAAAACCTCCTCCAGGAACTCCTCGATCTTGTTAATGTCTGTCTTCAGCTCACCGTTATAGGTCAGGAAAGGAGGGTGAGTGCCTGGAGCCAAATTGTGCAAATCAGCTGGTTTCCTGAACAACAACAGAAATTAGATATTTTATTAATTTCTTAATGTCATTACTCAACCAGCTCTTGCATTGCAGAAAAAAATGTAGGTTGATTATTTTTCATTTCTCGTATTAAAATTCTGAACTATATTTGACTGATATTGCTCAAATATAATTTTTCAGTTTTCCAGTCAAAGCTCAAACCAATGTTTAATAATAATCTCGCTGGGATTTCGCCGTGAAAAAATTGTACTTTTATTTTTTACCAACCTTTTAATAAAAAAGACGAAAAAAGACCTGACTGCATATACTGTAATAACTTAATATCCCATAGAAATGTCAACACGTGGCATTTGTTACTGATATTTATTTAATATAATAATGTAGATTTCTTGCCATTAGATATATCACATGGATAAAGTCCTCACCTCTTGAGGTCGACAGTGGTGACGTTGAAGACTACACCTTTGAGCCAGAGGATCATGAAGAGGCGTTGGGAGAACGGACAGTTTCCGATGCTCTCGCCATCACAACCAGCCTGCAAACACAAAGATGTATATCTTTACATATACATCACCTCCAGGAATCAGTAAGTCTTCATTTATCTTAATGTAACATGTCTGAGACCAGTCCTCATGTTCGAGAGGGAAGAGACTGGACTGAGAATGAGAAAGTGTCATAGCGCCCCCTGCTGTTGCTTTAATGTTTTGATGGATGTTAACCTGAAGTCAAACTACAAGGACATTTTCAACTAAATGTTGTCACATAACACCTTACTTAAAGCCTTATATATAATGCATTATAAAATATTTATAATGCCTTCTAATGCACCTTATAATGCATCGCATGCTCTCATGAATAATTGTAACCACAGTTATAATACATTATAATACTAATACAGATAATACATATTATTGTGATACTCCAAAACATATGGTTAAAGATTAAAATGCTAAATTTGATATTACATTGTGGGTGTAAATGAATAGGCTTGGACTTGGTGCTGGAAATCCAATGCACAGGACAATAGAGACACCAGAATAAAAAATATTGATGATTCTGAAGCTGAAAATACTGAATTATTTTAGACAAACATACTTTCACTCTGACTAGTTGGGTTTAAAATAATGTAGGCCACGTTTTACTGGCAATATAAGATCCACAAATATTCCCCCATTGCATTATTATACATTATAATCGACATTATATATAGTAGTTTAATGTAGTACTGAGACAAACTCTGTAAACTTGAATTTTTACCTCGTATAGTCATTTTTATTTTGGGTGAACTAAACACAATACATATTGTCACTATCCACGATACATATTGTTGCATTTTTGTATTGCGATATATTGTGACATGATATATTGTTACACCCCTACTTATTATTATAATTAGAATTAAACACACCTCTAGAAAGTATAATGCATTAAAACACATGACAAACAACCAATTTCAGATGTAACAAGGATTTTTCAAAAATTATAATGAATTTTTCATTTTGGTTACAATTAGAGCCAGACCGATATATCGGCAGGCCAATATTATCGGCCGATATTAGACATTTTCCAAACTATCGGTATCGGCAGTTATAATGGCCTATAAATGAATATTTCAAAAATAACATAAAAACAGACGAAACACGCTTGAACCATGTCATGAGTGTTGGAGTTGTATAGTTTGTCCACCAGAGGGCACTCTACACCGTCCCTGTTGGCAACACTTGTTTTATTCAGTGCTTGAAAAACAATTAAAAGATCATCCCCATCAGTTCTCTTAACTCAAATAAGAATGACAAAATGTGTGACTATCATGTCCAGTTTAAAAAAATAAATAAAAAAAAATAATAAAATATCGGCCGATATATCGGAATTTCGGATTTTAAAAGCCAAAAATATTTGTATCGTTATCGGCCTTCAAAATCCTTTATCGGTCCGGCTCTAGTTACAATTGTTGAATATAGAATGAAAGTGAAAGTGACATGGAGTGAAAAGTGACATTATAACGTACATTTAGAATACCTATATAATGCATTATACATGAAGGGTATATTGATATACGCTTTGAGTACCAAGGAAAGTGCTTTATTAATGTAGCTAATTATTATTATTATATTATATACAAGCAAGAGTTACTGGTCACCAGCAGCAGCTCCAGACAAACAATGACACTCAACCAGGGCCTGAAGTTAATTTTTTCGGCCACCGGCCACTGTGGCAGGTGGATTTAAAAATTCACCTGCCACAGAGACTTTTTACCAGCCATTTTTTTTTTTTGCCTCATAAACGTAAAAAAAAAACAAAAAATGAAACGGGAATTTCACAATATTGTTCTTTAACTTGTAAGAATACACATTTAAGTGCTGTCAAGTAATAATATAACTCTAATAGGCTAACATACATTTAAAAAAAAAAAAAAAAATCTTTTTATTCATTGATTTTGACAGACACACACACACGCACAACATATACTGTATAGTATAGCCTATAATATAGTATACTCAACAGATAGACCTACCGCAGCTCGTAAACAAATCACACGCGGCTGTGTTGATGGCGGATTTAGTCACGTAGACAGGTCTTACTCTTAACAGCTTTTAGTTACAGCGTTCAGGAACGGTTAAATATGGACTAAATTAATACTGTTATTACTGATAAAATTACCGGGTACCGGACATTTTCTCACCGGTTCCCAACTCCCAACATGCACAGTTGCACACGCACACACATCTGTGCAACTGTCATTGTACTTTAACCTGCAACAGCGACGCGTTACATTATCTCATCCCGCATACGTAGTCAGAAAAAGAGCCTCATCTTCTTTCTGATCGCATGAATGTTACGAAACAACAGTCGCTGTCATAAATCAGCCGCTCACGAACCTTGCCATTGCCGCCGATTGTTCACTTTGTAATAAAATGTCTTCTTTACTTTTCTTTTCCTTATCCTCATCTTTTTGTTGGCTGTTTGTTTAGTTTTAGCTGGCCTCTTTACCCCAGTAATGTGCCGCCACATTTTAGCTAAAGTCCAACGCAATAGCGGACTTCCTTGAAATGTAAAAATCCTAATGAATCACTCACAATTCTCATTGGCTACCTGCCAATGTGGCAGGTAGATTGACAGTGTTACCCGCCAATAGCAAAATTCACCCGCATTTGGCAGGTGGTCGGGTGTTAATTTCAGGCCCTGCACTCAACCCTCCTATTACTATTGCTAACATTACAACAATAGCATATAATTGGTCATGTGATTATACATCTTTCCTGTCGCTGAATAACCAGCTGGATGTCAACCAATCAGGCTTCAAGAAAGGGCATTCAACCGAGACTGCATTGCTGTCGGTCACCGAAGCTGCTTCCAAATCATCGGTTCTCATCCTCCTGGATCTGTCTTCTGCATTGGACACTGTGAATCATCAGATCCTTCTGTCCACCCTCTCATCACTGGGCTTCACAGGTACTCCTCTACACTGGTTTGAGTCCTATCTCACAGATAGGTCACATGGAGAGGTGAGGTATCCAAAGCACATCAACTGACCACAGGGGTTCCCCAGGGTTCAGTGCTTGGACCGCTCCTCTTCTCCATTTACAACACATCACTAGGACCCATCATAGAGGCACATGGTTTCTCTTACCATTGCTATGCCAATGACACCCTCTCATTTCAACCAGATGATCCCACAGTACCTGCACGAATCTCGGACTGGATGAAGGAACATCACCTGCAGCTCAACCTGGCTAAGACTGAGCTTCTCGTCCTCCCTGCCAATCCGTCTCTACAGCACGACTTCACTATCCAGCTAGATTCTTCCTCAATCACCCCATCAAGGTCAGTCCGCAATCTAGGAGTAACCCTTGATGATCAGCTGACCTTCACAGACCACATTACAAAGACAGCTCGATAATTTTCCTTTTATTATATACACAGAAATGAGTAATAGAATCACACAGTTACACTAATTGACCTTATTCAGTGATAAACGCTATATTTCCTCATTGTGAAGTGTATAAATGACCCTGGTTTACAGTGCATTGAAAAATGTTTTCACACTGCTACTGTACGCCTCTGCAGTCGAGGAGATCAGGTGTCCCAAAACAGCGGCAACACTAGTACGAGACCAGCTATAGCTTACACTGTGACACAATACCCAGCACGATATGAATTATGCACGCCGCATTCATTAACCGCGGTCCCGGCAGTGAGAAGAACATGAGGAGCGTGCTGTCAAAGATAGATAATAGGTAATACTTCTGTTGCATCTTTTCTAATTTACTGTAACAGAGCTTGTTTTCATCGGCAGTTTCGAGAGGAATCATGAGATTGCATAACACAGTCAGATGGTATGTGAAAGGTCAGGACACTTCCAGTTCCACTCATCTGTCCATTCTGGAAAATTCAGAACAGAGAGACGACTGGAAGCAGGACAATGAGCGGCTGCGATCTGGAACGTGCAGAACAATAGGCCGGTTTGCTATAGGACCGGTTGCTCTGTCTGCTGGGCAGCAGTTCAGGGCTGTAAACAGAACGGGGTGTGACTGACAATGCCTTGTGTTCAGTATTTATGCTGTTAAATGCAAAGGATTAGTGCGTGTAAGAGGATTTGTTTGTTTCATTTTCTTTTTTCAATTATTTTAGTTGCTTCAGTATGACATGAGATGAGACTTTCATCATAACTGAAGCGTGTAATGCGTTGTCAGTGTACGTATGTGTTTGCTCTCTCATAAGTGGGTTGAGAGTGACTGCAGAGGCTATCTATGATATAAAATGTATTATTTTTTGCTTACTTTTTCCATAATGTTCAGATCTAATAAGCATTATTTGCAATGATGGACATCACTTTTTACTTGTATTTATTTTGTATCTGTGTGTGATGAAAACAAATTGTATTCTAATAATGGTTGCAGACCTTATGTCTATATTTATCTTGTCTTAGACCCACAATCCACGATATATCGGTATCATATTGAATAATATGTGGACAAAATGCTATAATTTATTGGCCACTCATTAGCTCAATTTTTTTATATCAGTGCATCTCTAACAAAAACATCAGAATGCGAATTATTGAGGGTATGTTCTTTTAACACCACCTTTATCTATAAACCAATGTGCGAGAACTACTGGCTTTCACTCAACTTACAACCCTGGTCAAATATGCACATGTTACTCTAGAACAACTATTGAGTTACACTGACATCGTAAGAGTTTCATAACTTCACTTCTGCATACTCTAACGCTAGATATTTTCCTTACCTTGACAAATAACTCAATATCAGGTTCTTGACCGTCTCCCATTGTAGACACTTTCTTTGACTCAAGTACCTCTTCTGATCTGTCACCTACATCCTCCCAGCCGTATTTCGCCAATATTTCAGGTTAAATGTAAATTCAGTTTGTTCTTGATGGGCATCCAATGGCACCAGGTGCTGTAATGTCAGCTCGAGCCCAGATGAAAGGGGAATCTAGCTCTCTCCCAAACAGGGATGATGTAAAAGAGAGGGAATAGGTGAGAGGCTTTAGCTGGGGGTGGAGCTTTACTTTGCCCCACCCCTGCCACAGATAGCTCTGATGAGCTTGAGTGACAGATGAGAATAAACCAGAAGTGTAACTATGATGAGATGACCTTGAAATATCGTCTCTGATTCAGTGTTCGTCCATGCACATATATTACATGTAAACACAGACAATTCATGAATTTCTTATCAAAAAAAGATTTAGCCCTATAAATGAGTTTCTTTTTTAGAGTCTCGGCCACTAAACTTGTGCGCCATCTTGTCCCTGAATAACTAGGCCTATATGGCATGTTCATGGCCCAGAAACTCAAGAGTAGAGGAATGAGCCGCATCCATTTTTAATGAAGTCCAAGTCACAGGCAGTGCGCTGGCAGGCAACGGTAGGTTATATTTGATCATCTTCTGGAGCCCAGGAGAATAAGATTCCCTGCTAAATATTTTAAGAGCTGGCTTTGGTTTATACCATGTATTTGTGTTCAAAGTTTTCGGACATGACTGAAATGAACCTGTGAAATGAAGAGTACTCATTTGGTTTCTTAAAATATATAGTGGCGTACAGAAAGGGGGGGGGGGGGCATACAGTATAGATTTACACTCAGTGTTTGACCCCTTTCGCCTTCAGAACTGCCTTAATTCTACATGGCATTGATTCAACACGGTGCTGAAAGCGTTCTTTAGAAATGTTGGCCCATATTGTTAGGAAAGCATCTTGCAGTTGATGGAGATTTGTGGGATGAACATCCAGGGCACGAAGCTCCCGTTCCACCACATCCCAAAGATGCTCTATTGGGTTGAGATCTGGTGACTGTAGGGGCCATTTTAGTACAGTCAACTCATTGTTTGTTCAAGAAACCAATTTGAAATGATTCAAGCTTTGTGACGTGGTGCATTATCCTGCTGGAAGTAGCCATCAGAGGATGGGGACATGGTGGCCATAAAGGGATGGACATGGTCATAAACAATGCTCAGGCAGGTAAACGATGCCCAATTGGCACTAAGAGGCCTAAAGTGTGCCAAGAAAACATCCCGCACACCATTACACCACCACCACCAGCCTGCACAGTGGTAACAAGGCATGATGGATCCATGTTCTCATTCTGTTTACGCCAAATTCTGACTCTACCATCTGAATGTCTCAACAGAAATCGAGACTCATCAGACCAGGCAACATTTTCCCACACTTCAACTGTCCAATTTTGGTGAGCTCTTGCAAATTGTAGCCTCTTTTTCCTATTTGTAGTGGAGATGAGTGGTACCCGGTGGGGTCTTCTGCTGTTGTAGCCCATCCGCCTCAAGGTTGTGCGTGTTGTGACTTCACAAATGCTTTGCTGCATAACGAGTGGTTATTTCAGTCAAAGTTGCTCTTCTATCAGCTTGAATCAGTCGGCCCATTCTCCTCTGACCTCTAGCATCAACAAGGCATTTTCGCCCACAGGACTGCCGCATACTGGATGTTTTTCCCTTTTCACGCCATTCTTTGTAAACCCTAGAAATGGTCGTGCGTGAAAATCCCAGTAACTGAGCAGATTGTGAAATACTCAGCACCAACAACCATGCCACGCTCAAAATTGCTTAAATCACCTTTCTTTCCCATTCTGACCTTCAGTTTGGAGTTCAGGAGATTGTCTTGACCAGGACCACATCCCTAAATGCATTGAAGCAACTGCCATGTGATTGTTTGATTAGATAATTGTTTTAATGAGAAATTGAACAGGTGTTCCTAATAATCATACACCACTATAGTAATGAACGCAACTTTCATGCTCAAATTGATTGACGGATAAACTGCTCCTACTTCAGTGTTGTGGTTATGTTAAGGATATTATCAACAAACATTTTGCTTCATACATTCAGTTTAACATTCTCATTCAACTGAACGGTGTACAGTATATGCATTTTAAACAGTGTGTTCGTGCAATAAATGCACGTCTATGAATGAGCATGGTTTTATAGCGTATTAAATTCAACAGCTCAGCTCAACTTAATCGTATAAATCTCATTTCAGGGGTGGCCAAAATTATGATTTAAAATCAGTCGGAGATAGAAACCTATCTTCATATTTACTGGCAAAGTTTCATGTTAAAATAACACATCAACACATTTTATCGTATCTAATTGTTCAGCACTTTAGTCAGCCCTGTTTGTTGTAAATGTGCTATATAAATAAATACAAACTTGAAATTTGAAACTAGATGAGTTGGAATATGAATTGAATAATGTCAGTGAAAGAGTCTCTTTTTTCATGGCTCAGTTCCCAACAGGTTCAGTGTAATCACTGCAGTGAATAATTAACTTCTGCATGGTGCACATTTGGCTGAGCCAAAGTCCTTTAAGAGTTTTAAAATATATTTCTAAAAAATATGATTAAAAAATAAGGTCACACTTGAGGATTTTTTTCCCACCTGATAAACATTGTTTAATCAAAGTTGCAATTGTGTGGAAGAGTCTGCTTATCTATATCTGATTATCACATTGCTGCTGCTTCACTTTAAAAAATGTCCACTAATGTCACATGTTTTTTTATACGAACAGAGGCCCATTAAGGCCCATTCACACTAAGAACGATAACTAACCATAACTATATTAGCATCCACTGCACCAATGGATGTTATTATTCTGTTTATTGTAAGTGCTCGCTGCTGTTTTGTTGACTGCCACTTTAAATGCCCGAACTCTGCTATTCTTTCATATTTACAATGTCTTTTAGAGCTATATCTTTATTGTTATTGTGATCGTTATCGTCCTTGGTGTGAACAGGCTTTTAAAATGGTTTCAGCGATACTCTGGAAACAATATAATACTGATACAACTGTATCCTTTTTAATAGCAAGACTTAAAACAAATATAGACATACTGTAAAAGTAATTATTTTTATACGTAAATATAGAATGTAATCAGTAACCACCAACATCTCTCTGATTTAGTACAGGTGGCATTGTCAATTCCAGTCATAATCATCTGCCTTCAGCAGGTCATAGCACAGCCAATATTAGATATGTAACCAAGGCCAACATTTACTTGGCAAATGCTGTTATGTTCTCTTTTTCAGGCTTTATTACGAAAGCAGTCTGATGTTATGTCAATCAACAACAACTTACACTCCTTTATTCCTTGTTTTTATGATATGCCATAAAAATAGTTATGTAATATTTGAATTGTTCCTAAGGACAACACCTTTATTGTGCTATGTTCACTGGTGCATCCATACCAGTGTATGTATTTTCAATTGTGAACCAGTAAAAATAAAATTAGTCTTCATGATCAGTGTCACGGTAAAGTGTTCCTCAGGTCAGGAGTTCATCCTGGTATCCACGACTGTACGGATGTCAAAGTTAATGATTATTCATATTGCCTGTCACAGTGAACCTTCCAAAGGAAAACGAATGGCGATGCAATCAGGATGTCTATCTACATGACACAGGCTGTGAGCAAGCACAGAAACTTTTGAAAGCTCCATTGAAGTTAATGATCAAGAGAAAAATAGTACTGAATGTATCATACCAATCTTTTCTGTAAATTGTAAGCCATTGGGCTTAACGTTGATTTCTATCTACCTAATCATTAACTTCCTGCTTGAGATATTTACATCCATTACACTTCAGCATTTCAGGCCGCCTGATTTTCTTTTGCATCCTTTAAAGTTAAAACTGGTTTTCATTTAGATAAGAAGAATGAATTCATAACACTGTAAAAAAAATGCTCTTTTGTCAAATCAACTTAGATAATTGATGTGGTTCAGATAACATATTTTGAGTTTCTGCTGTTTAAACCAATCTCCTTCATTGTACTAACTCATTTATTTCATTTATTTAAATGAAATTAAACTTTTAAGGCAACCAGGTCACTTAATTTTTTTTTAAGTTAAACCAACACTTAGTTTTTTTACAGTAAAGCCACAGTTTTGAGGGTTTCCCAAATGAGGTTAGAGAGATTATGGTTGAAATGACATTGCAAAATACAAGTTTAAAGACAAGTGAAAAACTTTCAAACTAAATTTCAATTTTATTAACATAATGTGTTATTACTATGATAATTATTAATATTATTATTTAAAAAAAAAGATTACAAATCTATACATTTTATTTGTATGTTAAATTTGCCCACCAAAATATACATTGTATTTAATTTGAATTCAAATAAAATATAAAAACAAAATGTAAGTTCAAGAATTTAATTTTACCTCAATTAGTATATGTTAATATTATATGTTTAATAATTATCATTTTAAATTATTTAACATCTGAGTTTATACTGTACACTCTAAAAAATGCTGGGTTGTTTCAACCCAAATTTGGGTAAAATATGGACAAACCCAAATGTTAATTGGGTTAAAAATGCAATTAGGTTCAGCATAAAAACTGCTAAACGAGTGAACAAAGATTTGACATTAATTTTGTCTTCACGTCGTCTTCAATGGTCAAAGGTAAGCAGAAATATGACAAACCACATCACTATCACAAACCACACCCAACTGACCTTTAGACTCGTAGTAAGGTTAGAAATGTAGTAAGGCCAACTTTAATACTTTTTTTTAAAAAATAAACAAAATGCCCTTACCTTGACGAAAAGCGCAATGGCAGGCTGGTTCGGGTCGGGAACCTCAGTGGTCTCCTCCTGCTCGCCAATGTTCTCCACAGTCTTCAGGCTGTAGTCAACCACCTCCTCCGGTTCTGGAGATTCGTCTTCTGGGAGACTGTAAGCCATGAGCAGGTCTTCGTGGACCCTTGAGGGCTGGTCATCACAAGGGTCTTCAATTCCCTCTAAAGATGAAGACCTTCCGGACCCGTATGCGTCTCCATTCTGCAGCTCGCTTTCGACCTGCTCTCCTCGTTCACTGGAGGGTGAAAGCTGGGCTTCTTCGTCTTCTTCTTCTTCTTCTTCAATTGAGTTTCTCGTGTTCATGTAGACTGAAGGAGAGGGTTGGTTGACCGTGCTGTAGATCGGTTCTTTACGCGCGCCTTGATTCTCATATTTCGTCTCTGTGTTAGTAGTACTCTTAATGTCAACATACGGCTTCTCGTATATGTTTTCGCTCCTCTCGTCGATTTGTTCATATATGTTTTCTTGGAGGTTCGTGGCCATGATTAAAGCTCGTCCAGAACTTTGGAGAAGTGCGAGGACGTCTGGAGAAATGGGAAAGTCGCTCACCTGTTGCAGCGGAAGATGACTGATGACTTATAAATGAACTTTGCTCGATGACTGTCATAAAATGTGAGTCGTAAATAAGTGACTCCCCGCTAGGTCTTCATATTCTCTTGAAGTTGGCTTTTCTTTCATTGCATAGCCTATTTGCTAATTAATGTGTATTAATTATAGTCTACAAATCAACACCCTAAACGTTTGGTATGACAGTGTCATGTATTATGTGTTATTAAAGAAATATATAATTTAATAAACCAAAAATAATGTCTGCACCTCAATGGTTGCTTTAGTTTTTTAAAGGTTTTGCTTTAAACTTCACCTTCAGCACGAATAACAGGCATATATCAGCGTAATAGTATCACACATCTCTGTTATGAGTCATTTCCGAGCAGTTGAGTAAAGTTGGCAATAAATTCGCAGATTCGAACTTCCCGGGTCAATAACTTCTCAGCTGAATGTTGTTAATGCACAAATGTCACCTCTTTTTAATCGCAGTAACATAGATAAGCAGCTACAACCTAATTTTCCGCGAAACGAGCTTTCCCTCGCATTGGACAAAATACATTGATCTCTATGCGCAGGCGGCCGAGAGACAGATCCTAAGGGACCGTCTGCAAAGTGCAAAACCCGAAAAGCTTTACTGCGAAAACAGTCAATAACTTCACTGTCACACACGACAGTGTCACCAAATTCAGTTTACACATCACTGCTGTCCCATTGTTTATACTACAACACTTAATTTGGGGAGAAAATATTTTTGCATAATTTTTATATTTATTAAAAAAAAAATTCAATAACTTCACTATAATATACTGCATTGTTGCCAAATTCAATTTTCACATCACTGCTACCCTGTTGTTTATACTACAATACTCATTTAGAGAAAAATACATTTTAAATTGTATATACTATTGAAAATGAATAATTTTATGATTTTTATTAAAAATATTCAAAAACTTTGTTTACAGTTTCAGTTTACACATCACTGCTGTCCTAATAATTACTACAACACTTATTTTGGAGAAATAATACAACTTTAATTGAATATACAATTGTAAATGTATAGTATTTATGTTTTTATGAAAAATATTCAATAACTGTACTGTAATTGGCTGTATTGTTGCCAAATTCAGTTCACACACCACTGATGTCCTGATGGTTATACTACACCACTTATTTTGGAGTAAAAGTACAATTTTAATTGAATATACAATTGAAAATGTATATTTTGTTATGATTTTTATGACAAAATTTCAATAACTTTACTGTAATTTACTGTATTGTTGCCAAATTCAGTTCACACACCACTGATATCCAGATGGTTATACTACAACACTTATTTTGGAGAAAAAAGAACATTTTAATTGAATATACAATTGAAAAATGTATTTTTATGATTTTTATGAAAAAATATCCAATAACTTTACTGTAATTAGCTGTATTGTTGCCAAATTCAGTTCACAAACCACTGATGTCCTTATGGTTATACTAAAACACTTATTCTGGAGAAAAAATAAAATTTTAATTGAATATACAATTGAAAATGTAAAATGTTTATGATTTTTATGAAAAATATTCAATAACTTTACTGTAATTAGTTGTATTTTTGCCAAATTCAGTTCGCACACCACTCATGTCCTGATGCTTATACTACAACACTTATTTTGGAGAAAAGATAATTTTTTTATTGAATATACAATTGAAAATGTAAAATTTGTATGATTCTTATGAAAAAATTTCAAGAAATTTACTCTTATTTACTGTATTGTTGCCATATTCAGTTTACACATCACTGATGTCCTTTTGGTAATACTACAAAACTTATTTTGGAGAAAAAACAAAATTTCAATTGAACATACAATTGAAAATGAACAAATTTTATGATTTTTATGAAAAATATTCAACAACTTTTCTCTAATTTACTGTATTGTTGCCAAATTAAGTTCACACACCACTGATGTCCTGATGGTTATACTACAACACTTAATTTGTATGATGTTATTGCAAAGTGAGTGTTGAGAATTCCTATAGATCACATGACATAGCCAATCATGGGAGGAGCTAAGTCTCCTCAGGTGCACTTAATGAGTGATAAGGTACTATTGTTTGGTGTGTTGGTGTGTGGCACATGCAATGGAAACAGATTGTCCTTCCTTTCTCTCCTAATGAGAGCCTTTGAAGAGTTTATGTGTTCCTGACAATGTAAGTTTGTTTGCTTTGTTTTATTGTGTTAATTCCTGAGATTCTGTTTGTCTAATTCTGAAATGTGTTATGTGATTGATTCTTTGTTTCTTATTATTTTGATGTAGGATTGCATTATGTGATAAAGGATTTATTAGTTGAAGTTCTATGGTGTTAAAGAGTAGTGCAGTTTATAACACATTGAAATCTTTGTTAATTTATTATTTTTCATCTTTGTTATTTTTTTATAATAAAAAAGTAATTATAACCAACAGGGCAGCAGGGATGTGTGAACTTAATTTCAAAATAATGCAGTGAATTACAGTAAAGTTATTGAATATTGATCATTAAAATCATACAAATTTAACAATTTCAAATGTATATAGAATTACAAATATTTTTTCTCCAAAATAAGTGTTGTAGTATTACCAACAGGACATCAGTGGTGTGTGAACTGAATTTGGCAACAATACAGTAAATTACAGTAAAGTTATTGACTATTTTTCATAAAAGTCATAAAAATGTACATTTTCAATTGTGTATTCAATTAAAATTGTTCTTTTTCTCCAAAATAAGTGTTGTAGTATAACCATCAGGACATCAGTGATGTGTAAACTGAATTTGGCAACAATACACTAAATACAGTAAAGTTTTTGAATATTTTTCATAAAAACATAAATATTATACATTTACAATTGTATATTCAATTAAAATTGTACTTTTTCTCCAAAATAAGTGTTGTAGTATAACCATCAGGACATCAGTGGTGTGTGAACTGAATTTGGCAACAATACAGTAAATTACAGTAAAGTTATTGAATATTTTTCATAAAAAATGAATATTATACATTTACAATTGTTTATTCAATTAAAATTGTACTTTTTCTCCAAAATAAGTGTTGTAGTATAACCATCAGGACATCAGCGGTGTGTGAACTGAATTTGACAACAATACAGTAAATTACACTAAAGTTATTGACTATTTTTCATAAAAATCATAAAAAATGTACATTTTCAATTGTATATTCAATGAAAATATTCTATTTTCTCCTAAATAAGTGTTGTAGTATAACCATCAGGACATCAGCGGTGTGTGAACTGAATTTGACAACAATACAGTAAATTACAGTAAAGTTATTGAATATTTTTCATAAAAATCATATTTTTTTTACATTTTCAATTGTATATTCAATTAAAATTTTATTTTTTCTGCAGAATAAGTGTTGTAGTATAACCATCAGGACATCAGTGGTGTGTGAACTTAATTTGGCAACAATACAGTTAATTACAGTAAAGTTATTGAATATTTTTCATAAAAATCATAAAAATGTACATTTTCAATTGTGTATTCAATTAAAATTGTACTTTTTCTCCAAAAAAAGTGTTGTAGTATAACCATCAGGACAGCAGTGATGTGTAAACTGAATTTGGCAACAATACACTAAATTACAGTAAAGTTATTGAATATTTTTCATAAAAACATAAATATTATACATTTACAATTGTATATTCAATTAAAATTGTACTTTTTCTCCAAAATAAGTGTTGTAGTATAACCATCAGGACATCAGTGGTGTGTGAACTGAATTTGGTAACAATACAGTAAATTACAGTAAAGTTATTGAATATTTTTCATAAAAATCATAAACATTTTACATTTTCAATTGTATATTCAAATAAAATATTCTATTTTCTCCTAAATAAGTGCTGTAGTATAACCATCAGGACATCAGCGGTGTGTGAACTGAATTTGACAACAATACAGTAAATTACAGTAAAGTTATTGAATATTTTTCATAAAAATCATAAATTTTTTACATTTTCAATTGTATATTCAATTAAAATTTATTTTTTTTCTGCAGAATAAGTGTTGTAGTATAACCATAAGGACATCAGTGGTTTGTGAACTGAATTTGGCAACAATACAGCTAATTACAGTAAAGTTGTTGGATCTTTTTTCATAAAAATCATAACAATTTTACATTTTCATTAATGTTTATTCATTTACAATTTTCTTTTTTCTCCAAAATAAGTGTTGTAGTATAACCATCAGGACATCAGTGGTGTGTGAACTGAATTTGGCAACAATACAGCTAATTACAGTACAGTTATTGAATATTTTTTCATAAGAATCATAAAAAATATACATTTTCAATTGTATGTTCAATTAAAATATTATTTTTTCTCCAAAATAAGTGTTGTAGTATAACCATCAGGACATCAGTGGTGTGTGAACTGAATTTGGCAACAATACAGCTAATTACAGTAAGGTTATTAAATATTTTTGATAAAAATCATAAAAATTGTACATTTTCAATCAATTAAAATTTTCTTTTTTCTCCAAAATAAGTGTTGTAGTATAACCATCAGGACATCAGTGGTGTGTGAACTGAATTTGGCAACAATACAGCCAATTACAGTACAGTTATTGAATATTTTTCATAAAAACATAAATACTATACATTTACAATTGTATATTCAATTAAAGTTGTATTATTTCTCCAAAATAAGTGTTGTAGTAATTATTAGGACAGCAGTGATGTGTAAACTGAAACTGTAAACAAAGTTTTTGAATATTTTTAATAAAAATCATAAAATTATTCATTTTCAATAGTATATACCATTTAAAATGTATTTTTCTCTAAATGAGTATTGTAGTATAAACAACAGGGTAGCAGTGATGTGAAAATTGAATTTGGCAACAATGCAGTATATTATAGTGAAGTTATTGAATTTTTTTTTTAATAAATATAAAAATTATGCAAAAATATTTTCTCCCCAAATTAAGTGTTGTAGTATAAACAATGGGACAGCAGTGATGTGTAAACTGAATTTGGTGACACTGTCGTGTGTGACA